GTCTGTGCACTTATATGGGAAATGTAGAATGGAACTGTTTATGTCATCCAAAGTGATATATTTCTTTGATATTAATAATGAGAGGCAATATGCTATTTCAACAGGCACAATGCCTTCAAAAAGATCATGGGCAATGTCAGGGGGGTAGCCACTGACAACATGAAAATGAGAAAGTGCTTTAGTCAAAGGACAAGCTCTTTTAACTCCAAAACAGCTACTGCCACTTTCTAAGGCTGCTCTGACATGAGTCCCATGTACTTCTTCTGTTCTGAGATTGAAAGTTCCTGATTCCTCATTTGATACGATGTCTGCAGCATTTGCAGTACAAAAACGACAAAAATAGGGGCCAGCAAAGCCAGCTATTCCATGAGCTCCTAAATTGTCCGCAGCAACAGTCTGAACTGTACCTTTCACCGCTCTGCCCAGTTGTGGGACGAAAATTCCATCAACTTCCAAAGACCTAAGATCATGTATAAGTGGCTCTAAAACCTTGTCATAGCTGTACAACTTAACATTGTCTGTTTTGCACAAAATAGCTAAGTAAATGGAGAACAAAGAGGAATGAGACCCTGGGGGGAGGTTACCCAGCACCCAGTACACAGCCCAAAGTTTGTGGGTTTAATGGGAGGTGCCTAGAGGGTTGCAGACCTCGAAGTCATCAACATACAAACAAATAGATAGCCTTAACTCTTGCCCTGACATATAAAGCAGACCATCCCTGAAAGACTTGTACACAATTTCTTTTGCAGTCTCTGTTTCCTTCTGCGTTTCGTGATTACAAACTATTTTGTCCACAATATCTTTCCTATTCAATAGCACTTGTAGGGATTTAAGAATGGGACATACTGAAAGGTTTTGTTCTCTTTAGCATTCAAAATATATTCAACTGGTTCAACAATATTAAAGTTTGTCTTGTAATATTGCTTACGCTGATATGCAGACCTCAAAGGACCACCCTTTCCTATGGCCTTATTTATAGGATTCCCTGTGCACAGAGAAGAGGTTATTTTCTCTATGACAGCACTGTCAACCTGGAGATTGTGCTTCTGAAAAATATCAACTAGAACACCATCAGTGTGGGAACTCGAGAGAGAGCTAGTTAAGTGGTGAAGCTCTAGCAAAAAATCATCAATTGCTGTGCTTGGTACATGGGTAAAATGCTCTAACTTTAACAAAGCTGCTGCAAAAGTATGTTCGACTACATTTGAAAGGTCCTCCGGGACATCACCATTGCAGTCTAGCTGTGTATCAGAGTATTCTTCACCTATGTCATCATCTGAAGTATTTCCCACAGATTCCAGGGAAACAAAGGTGTTCGATGTCACAATTTCTGGTTTAAAATCTAATAATGAATATGAACTGTGCGTTCTGCTCTCGTGGGATTTAAATGTTCCATAGATATTCGTCTGAAAGTTGCAATCTAAAAACATGCAAGTTACAAGCTCATTTTTCTTCAGGTGTGCATTAATGTGCACCCAGTAATCCCTTTCAGAGACAAGATCCTTGCAAGGACATAAATGACACCTAAATATACTGCTCTCTGACTGGTGATGACTGGTTTCAGTCACATGACATCTATTCAAATGAATTAAAAGCGCGTTCCACCTCCTAAAACTGCACGGGCAGCTTTCATATATGCAGGGAAAGCGATTATTACCACCATAATATCTATGTTTCACTCGATAATGCTTTAATACTTGGGACCTACTTGGTAAAACTGATGGGCAGGCCTTACAACGCCACATTCATAGCAACATTCTACCACACCTACAGCACCATTCACTGCAAAAAGAATCAAACAAACGAGAATTAATGTCTAATGAAGAAATCAAATCTACAGTTGTTTCTAATTAAAATAAAATAATAAAAGGGGGAAAGAATAAATAACAGAGCCCTGTCATGCCTTTAACATGAATAACTCATATTTGCTCTGCTATTAACAGAGCAAACATAAAAACATATACTCACCACAATAACTTGAGCCCACTGAAAGTGCTGACTCCAGAAGACATGCGCAGACTGAGTTTGCTTGTCAATCTGCAGCAACAAAGAGCAAAAGGGAAAAATCAAAAATCAAAAATCAAAAATCAATGCAACACTACAATGGAAAACTGTACTTCTCTAAACACATGATTCATATGTTTTTACAACAGAGCAGCTAACAGCTACATTAATGCGGCGCCGTACCCCCACCTCCTCCAGCTCCTAAAGTCATTTTGGATAAACGCCGCACCCTAGTACACCTCACCCCCCAACCTGCTTTTGGTCTGATGGCTACTCCTCTGTCTCTAACGTTGCTTTCGCAGGTTTTACATTGAACCTGAAGGAGAGGGCCATTTTAAAGTGATAACCACGCTTGTGTTTGTCTCCTATAGCGAATATTATATTATATGAGAAAAAAGTCGCAATATTTCGAGACAAAATTTGTAATATTTCCAGATTAAAGTCGTAATATTTTGAGAAAAAAACTCCTAATATTTCGAGACAAAAGTCGTAATATTTTGAGAAAAAAGTCTTAGTATTTGGAGGATAAAGTGGGCTAACTGTAGGGGGGCTGCCATAACGCATTGGGGTCTCGGTTGCTGTACTGGCGCTGGAGCTCCACTCACTCCTGTCTCTTTGTGGATCATTTTGATCGTCATTCTCACTGTCTGTGAAACTTCATGCCCTCTTTGAATGGTGGGAAATGTAGCCCCCGATAGCCGTGTACACAACCCTGCCTGAGATTCTCCTTTAACATAACAGAGAGACAGTTCCCTCCGAGTCCGTCTGGCTCTTTATTCTAGATGAACACAGTTTCCTGCTCAGCTGTTTCAGCCGGTTCTTATACTAATAACAGGCTGGTTCTGATGTGCAGGAGAGACAGGGAGACTGAGTGTTTCTTTATGGGTGAATCGATATGAAAGTAGAACTCCACCAACTCACCGCCCCTCATTTAACACGAGGAGGTGCTGCTTCCCTTTGAAACGCCTTTGGCCACAATATTGTGACCTTTCCTGGTATTAATGCCACTTTAATGTCATAATTCTACGACTTTTTTCTTGAAATATCACAACTTTTTTTCTTTTTTCTTGAAATATCACAACTTTTTTCTTTTTTCTTATCAGAAAAAAGAAAAACAGGCGAGATGGCTGAACAAGAGACCAAAGAAACCCACAAATGTGAGAATTTTCTCCGTTAAAAATTACGATAACCACTGTATTGTCTTAGTTTATTGCTGTTTCGCTGTATTATGGTCTTTTTCTTCATAACCAGCATAAAATTGCTAGTACTATGCTGATGTCTAGCTAATTTTCCCGTTCCACCTTAAATGGTGCAGCAGTTACATTCTGGCGCCTCAGGCGTCAGAAATGCTGCAACATCTAAGGTGGAACAGGAAAATTTGAACAAGTAGCTGGCTAATGTCTGACTTCAGCTTCATATTACCAAAGAATAATTGGGTGGGCCATAATAAATAATAAATAATTGTCACATCCCTCTCTTTGAAGACATATAATGCCCTTGGTTGCTGAACTTTACCCTCCTCTGCTGTCACTGCAGACTGGCAGGGACACCTACAGAGCAGCGCTTGTAGCTGTTAATGAAGTAATGTTGTTTTTTATTTGAGGGTCCCAATTTGTAGGGAAGATTTCAACCACTACAACTTGTAACTCAGTTCCAAGGGGCAAGAACACACCCAAATCTCATCTGTTCAGCGAACCAACCCTGCTAGAAAAAACAGTTGGGGTGACCAACTAAGTCAGAACCAGACCAGCACTGGACCAGCATAGATTAGCTTAGACCAGCACGAAATGCTTGTTTGTCTGTACTGTTTTTTCAGCAGGGAAAGGAGAAAGGAGATGCCGGTTAAGCAGGAAGTACAGGGGTTGGACTGCAGAGGACTGGGGTAGTTATTTTCTCTGATGAAGCCCCATTTAGACTTTTTGGGACAGCTGAAATGACTGTCTGGAGAAGAAAAGGTGAGCGCTACCATGAGTCCTGTGTCATGCCAACAGTAAAGCATCCTTCCAGCAACCATTCATGTGTGGGATTGCTTCTCATCCAAAGGAGTGGACTCACTCACAATTTTGCCTTAGAACACTGCCATGAATACAGAATGGTATCAAAACATCCTCCAAGAGCAACTTCTCCCAGTGATCCAGGAGCAATTTGGTGATGCTTTTTTGGACAATGCTTTTTCCAGCACCATGTCACAAGGCATAAGTGATAACTAAGTGGCTCGTTGAACAAAACAATGAAATTTTGGGTCCATGGCCAGGAAACTCCATAGATCACAATCCCATTGAGAACCTGTGGTTAATCCTCAAACAGCGGGTGGACAAACACCAAACACTGATTAGGCAAGAATGGGTTGCCATCAGTCAGAATTTGGCCCAGAAGTTGGTATCCAGCATGCCAGGGTGAATTGCAACAGTTTTAAAAAGAAGGTTAAACACTGTAAATCTTTGCATAAACTTGATGTATTTGTGAATAAAAGGTAAAAAGAACTTATGAAATGCTTATAATTGTATTTCAGTATACCAAAGGAACACCTGACTAAAAGCTCTAAAAACACTGAAGCAGCAAACTTTGTGAAAACCAAAATTAGTGTCAAGCTCAAAACTTTTGGCCACGACTGTATTTATCAAACCATCAGTATTAAATGTCCTGCTTTGGGTACCAAAAGTGCAATGTGGGTAGATGTTCAGCTTTAAAAGTTTGGGCCCAGTATCTTTGTTAGAGTTGGGCAGAATCCTTTAAAACGTAGTGATGGTTGAATACTGAATACACTGTCCTACATGTATTGAGTCATATATTCAGTTAAATTACATTAAAAAGTAACATATTACTGTTGTGGGAAGAAAACCTCATATCTCCAGAATAGTAACTTTACAGGAAAAAGCAAAAAACGGCTTTACTTTTAATGTAAGTCAATGGAACCAGACTTTTTTCCAAGTCATTTTGGGCCGTTTCTTTTAGTCTATTCGTCATGAAATTTACACACAATGTAAAGAGAAACAGTCATTTTCAAATTATGTCCAAAACTGAAAAACGACAGTAATATTCAGAATACATTTACAATACAGGATACACATTGGAGGCATACATACACCTCTACTGATGTGGTTTCTTCATGTAATTCTTCTGATCATGTTTCATAAAAAATTAGCTCACCATGTCAGTGAAGTTCTGAAATACTTACCATTGTTGAGAAAAGCACCCGCCTCATGAAAACAATAACAAAATCTTGCAAAATTTGACCATAATGTCGGTGGTTGTGTTTTTTTCAGTTAATGAAGTTTGTAAATGTTTGTAACAGCGTGGCATGAAAGCACACACTGATGCTAAGCTCATGAACACAGTTTGCTACTGAGGAGACTATTCAGTTCGAACGTCCCTCAGAAGAGCTTAACCCCTTAAATGGCCAGGGACCACCAGCCCTGATGACACTCGGGAGCCGCCACTCAGGAGCCCCCACGGACTGACCTTTTGACCTTAGCAGGTAAGCAACAGGTTTTTGACAATTAAATCAAAACCTGAAAGTAGTACCATATTTGGACTTCACTTGTATTTACACTCATTTCAACAAACTAAATAATTCCACAGTAGGTGCCCCTGTATTTTAGTCTCAGAGTGCACCAGAAATTCATGTTAAAATCAACATTTCTTCTAAGAATGATGTCACTGGACCCCACTGGTTTCTGGACTTGCTCACAGGTTTTCATGACTGAATGAGGAATCAATAGAAAAAAAAAATTAATTATGATTTCATCTAATAATTTACGATTATCTGAAGGGGCTAAACAACATTTTAAAGGACCCTTAAAAACTGGCCTAGTGGCGCTCCTGTCATGATTTATATGCCTAATGCTGCAGTGCGTAGTAAACTTTAGTTAGACAATACAAAATGCTATTTGCCATTTCCTGTTTTTCAATTCTACATAAAAGTCATTACAAACATTTAAAATGCGGTTGGTGCACTTTTTGTTAGTGAGAAGCCAGAACACTAATATGTCTGGATGTTCATTTGTGTGGTACTGAATGACAGACATAATCAAGGATTGAGGAAGGTGCTTTGTTTCCCATTAATTTGGTCTGGGTTTGAGGCCTCTGTCGCTCTTATTGACAGTCTCAGTCAATGCAAGATAAAGGAATTAGGAGCATGTCATTGTTATGGAGAACAGAACAATGCTTTTCGGCACGTAGAAGCATTATACAGGATAATTCCAATTCAATATATATGACACTAATAATGATACATCACCATCAGTTCATTTCACATGCCTTAATTGGTCCTATTGAAAAGAATGCTTCACAGATTATGTGTATGTAAACGTGTAAGCAGTGCAAACTGCTTCTCGTTCTGATGACCTTATAATTCTTTTTCACACTGAACATATTACAGCATCATTATGTAGAAACCAAAAACAAAAAGAAAAGACTGCAGTAAAAAACAAAAAAATCCTGAAGAGCTCCTCTGAGGTTTATACAAGGTTTACAGCTAAACCAGACCAGACTCTTCAAATTAACTTTCTAATGGAACTTTAACAATAATTGAACCTTCAGACACAAAAGCTCATAGTAAAATAACTGTAAATTCAATTTGAAGGCACATGAAAGACAAGTCTCTTTTTCAGGGTGAGGTCTATGTGTGGGATTTGTCTGAATGACATTCGACTTGACAAATTTGACTCGACTGAAGGGTTTGTTTCAAATGCGCTCACTTCCACAATGACTTGATTGAGGATGGTAAGGACGTCTTCTCTCCTGGAGTGGAAATTAAAACAAAAGCATGTTAGTTGAACATTTTTGAAGTGTCACTTTAAGTTGACAAGGTTTATTTGAATTGAATTGCTCAGAAATGTTTATATAGACTTATCAGACACACCACGATGTACTCATGTACCATTTTGGCTACGAACTGGATGTGTACACCTCCCACTACTCATTGATGATTAAAATCATCTGCAATCATGCAAAGCACCTCACCTTTTGCAGCCTTCTTTCAGCATTTTGCACAATGACTGGATGAACCAGGATCCTTTCACTACATGTCTGTATGAATGTAATCCTGGTATGGTCGCTAAAGCCAGCAGGAAATCAGAATCAGGAATTGCATATTTAGGTTGTTCCCAACCAGTATGTAAGATAAACACTTTGGGTTTATCGGCCAGGCTTTGGCAGTTTGCTCTACCAAATGGCTGGAGGATGTCAGAAGGGTGAACAATCTGTCCATCTGTTCCACAGAAACCTCCATCACATTCATGGCTTAGGATGCAGCATATGAAGCAGTCACCGTTATGCTGCCTCTGGCTGAGTTCCATCAGGATCTCCTTCATCTCTACTGCGGTCTTGTCAGTGTGTATCTCCACAGTAAAACCCAGCCACTTGAAAACCTCGTCAAGACTCTCTATTGGGAAGAATGAAAAGAGAAAATATTATTGTTATAATTGTTCCATTTCAATTTTTAACTATATAATTTCTATGTTAAAATCCACTTGTTCACTAAAGTATATATATATATATAAAGATAGAGAGGGAGAGAGAGCTTACATTTTTCTGTCATTTAGCAGCATTAAAATCAGAGTAACTAACACACAGTATACTTTTGTACATTTATAGTAATATAGATAATGACTATAAACAGTATAAAACTATGGAAACCAAGTGTATACCTGCAATTACAGTATGGCAACAAATTAACACCTTAAGTGGCCAGGGCCCACCAGCAGGCCCAAAGTTTTATTACACACTTTTATAACCTAAGAATAGCTCAGCCACTTTGCATTGACATCTCTGTAGTTACTGAATAATGAGCAAAAAGAAGTAATCATATATAAACGGGATCCAGAAATGCTGCCACCTTCTCTGGGCCCGAGCTCATTTAAAATGTACTGAGGAGAAGTGGAAAAGTGTCCTGTGGTCCGACCAAATCAATATTTGAAATTCTTTTTGGAAATCGTCGTGTCCTCCGGGCTAAAGACCACTCAGCTTGTTATCAGTGCACAGTTCAAAAGCCAGTATTCATGATGGTATAGGTAGTATGTAATAAGCCTGGGATTTTAAGGGGTTAAATGGGTAACTGCTTTGAAATTCACTGGCAGAGCAGCCACAATGGAACCAGTACTCTTGCTGTACTCAGAGAAATAACTACACCCTACAGATGTATGCAACTACAGTTGTATGCAAAAGTTTGGACACTTCTGGCCAAGTGACTGATATTTTGCTGATTTTTGGAGTGAAAATACAACATCTGCAGCAAACTATTTTTAAAAATACATTTTTTCTGTAAATGCTCAGTACTCGGGTGCACAGCATGTTACTCTTAATTACACAGCTTAATTTATAATTGTCCCCAGAAAGAGCTGTATGTAGGGGCTGCATTTCATGAAGCATGTCATTTTCATACAGTGTGAGTATACAGATCACAGGCTTTGTTCGTGCACAATAGTCTACTCAAATACACTGTGTAAAATAAAATAAAATATTTACAACAATATTTGTCATTTGGCCAGGGCCTCCCAAACTTATGCATACAACTATATTGCACTAAACACAACACCAATCTACCGTTTTATTTATTTATTTATTTATTTGAGCCTTAACCAGGGAGGCCATTAAGGACCAATTCTTATTTACAATGGCGGGATGTGCTGAAGGACACTTACACCTATATATCATTACAAAGCCGTGTATTTCCAAAATGGTAACTTTATAGGAAAAAAAATGTAATAGAATGTAATGAAAATTAATGCAAGTTATTTTAAAGCATTTCTATTGATTTATTCATCATTAAACTGACACAAGGGTAATATTTTTAAACTGTACAAAAAATAAAAACCACAACAACGGGTGATAAATATAATGAATATTTAAATATCTTTGATTATCTTTCAGATCTCCTTCAAAGCAAAGAAATTAAGATACATTTATTCTGTTTTAATTTTGCTGATTCACTGACTCCACCTCTTACATTTAGACCATCAAAGCTATACTGATCTACTTCATAGTTACTATCATTTTTCTGTTACACTAAACAAATTTAACTTTACATACACATTAAGGCTTTTAATGAAATCTTGCATATTTTGTGTTAATGTAGAATGTAGAATTTAAAATAAGTCCTTTTGCTTTTGTAGAGGATTCTAGGATAGTGTATTATCATAGGAACTTACTGGACATGCAGTAAACTGTTAGGAATGGACATCAGCCTCTGGAATTAACAGCATAACACAACAATTGCATCCCTCTTGAATTACTAACGCTCATAATTTCTAATTAGATCTCCTGTTGTTCTAGCTTTGCCACTGAATCTGAAACCTACTAGTACATGCTGTGGTACAACATTGTACTGTTTACATTTTACAGTAGTTGGTAGTTACTGGATTAAAACTAAAAATTACCAACCTACATCCACCTTTGATCCTCTCCTTTCCATAAGGCGTCCACGACGATCAAAGTATATGTTATTAATGATTACACACACACCACGAGGACTGCTGGACATTTTGTACTCGTTGATTTCTGGGACGCCTGGAAAACAAAGCAAACATTTTAATAAATCACTGACTGAGTTTCCACCACAGCTGTCATTAGAGTGAACATCAGCTGCTAGTTGTACCTTGTCTTACAGATGGAGGCATTAAAAGATCATTCAATAGTGGGAAAGTTTCCTGCATTTCATTAAGCTCCAGAAGTTCGAGGAATTTATGGCATTGTTTGTCCCCCTTATGCATCATTTTGTCCAAAAGGTTGATGGTGAAGTCCTGCCTACTGTGATGACTGATGTCGTCTTTGAGGTTGCCATACTCGTGCTCCGTGATGAGCCTGGCCTGGTGCACGTGCTGCAGGACAAACTTGGCATCTCCAGACAGGATCTTAATCAGGGTTGTCTTATGCTGACGTACGATCTCCATGATCTGAAGCACCTTTTCCTGAAACTAAAAATTTACAACAGTCTGAACACAGTAATTAAGAATTTTTGGTAAGGGAACATGGGGGTGGCTGCCACATCTTTCATACTGGATCTCTTAAGGCCCAACCAAATAACTGATATCAGCCAATGAAGTCCAGAGTATCCTGAACGAAACAGAGTGGAGCATTGTGTAGTTATTTCACTGGTATGCAGAGATATTAGGTTTTAAATACAACATCATGTCCAAAAAAGTTGGGTGAAATGCTGAAATAAGCAAGGCCTTCCCTGAAAGAAAAGGATGTTGTCTGGATAGGAACATATGTTGCCAAAACATATATTTATGTATATATATATATATATATATATATTGTTCAGCATGAATGGTGCCTTCACAGATGTGCCAGTCACCCATACTAAGGTACCCCTATACCATCATGAATACTGGCTTTTGAACTGTGTACTGATAACAAGATGAGTGGTCTTTAGCCCGGAGGACACAGTGTCCATGATTTCCAAAAAGAATTTCAAATGTTGATTGGTCGGACCACAGGACACTTTTCCACTTCCCCTCAGTCCATTTTAAATGAGCTTGGGCCCAGAGAAGGTGGCAGCATTTCTGGATCCTGTTTATATTTGGTTTCTTCTTTGTGTTTTAGAGTTTTGACAGCATTTGTGGATGCAGTGATGAACTGTTTTCACAGACAGTGGTTTTCAGAAGTGTTTCTGAGCCCATGCAGTGATTTCCACTACAGAATCATGTCTGTTTTTAATGCAGTGCCGCCTGAGGGCCCAAAGATCACGGCCAGCAAATACTGGTTTTTGGCCTTGTCCATTGCATACAGAGATTTCTCCAGATTTTCTGAATCTTTTAATGTTATTATGTATGATGAAAAGCAAAAGTTCTTTGCTATTTTATGTTGACAAACGTGATTCTTGAATTGTTGCACTATTTGAACGTGTAGTCTTTCACAGAGTGGTGAACCCCTCCTCATCTTTACTTCTGAAAGATTCAGCCTCTCTAAGATGCTTTTTCATACTCAATCATGTGACTGACCTGTTGCCAATTAACCACCAGGTGTTTTTTTTAGCATTACACTATCTTTACCAGCCTGTCCCCCGTCCCAACTTTTTTGGAATATGCTATTGGCATCAAATTCAAAATAGGTATATATTTTTCAAAAAAACAATACAATTTCTCAGTTTGAACATTTGATATGTTGTCTCTGTACTATTTTCAATTAAATATAGGGTCTAAATTATTTGCACATCATTGCATTTTGTTTTTTTTACATTTTGCATCCCAACTTTTTTGGAAATGGGGTTGTGAATGTTGCACAGTTGCAACAACCAAGCACAGCAGGATACATATATTTATGTCTATACACTCCACTGTATTGCTGAACATAACACCAAACCTCTTGGACACCCCCTCTGGTGGCAGGGCCTCTGAAAGATTTCCTCTTATTCCTTCCTTATGGGCAGAGCTGGGACTAACACATACACCGATCAGGCATAACATTATGACCTTGTTTCTTCCTTGTTTCTACACTCATTGTCCATTTTATCAGCTCCACTAACTGTATAGGTGCACTTTGTAGTTCTACAGTTACAGACTGTAGTCCATCTGTTTCTCTGAAAACTTTGTTAGCCCCCTTTCACCCTGTTCTTCAGTGGTCAGGACCCCTATAGACCCTCACAGAGCAGGTACTCTGGGTGGTGGATCATTCTCAGCACTGCAGTGACACTGAAGTGGTGGTGGTGTGTTAGTGTGTGTTGCACTGGTCTGAGTGGATCAGACACAGCAGCGCTGCTGGAGTTTTTAAACACCTCAGTGTCACTGCTGGACTGAGAATAGTCCACCAACCAGAAATATCCAGCCAACAGCGTCCTGTGGGCAGCGTCCTGTGACCACTGATGAAGGACTAGAGGATGACCAACACAAACTGTGCAGCAGCAGATGAGCTATCGTCTCTGACTTCACATCTACAAGGTGGACTGACAAGGTAGGAGTGTCTAATAGAGTGGACAGTGAGTGGACACAGTGTTTAAAAACTCTGGCAGCACTGCTGTGTCTGATCCACTCGCACTAGCACAACACACACTAACACACCATCACCACGTCAGTGTTACTGCAGTGCTGAGAATGACTACAGTCTGTAACTGTAGAACTACAAAGTGCACCTATATAGTAAGTGGAGCTGATAAAATGGACAACGAGTGTAGAAACAAGGAGGTGGTCATAATGTTATGCCTGATGTACACAGGAAAACCACTTTTCTCAGGCTCTGGCTAAAGATGCTCCCCCTGTGTTCTCAGTGTAAAGGTGGTACAGTTTGAGTAAAAGTTTCTGAGTTAAATGATCTTGCACAGATACAGATTCCCAGCATTGTTATTGTGCTTTAAATCCACTCCAGCTGTATCTCTCCAAGGGGAAACCACTGCCAGTAAAACCTGTTCTTCTTGTTAGAATTCACCCGTTCCACCTTAAATAGTGCCCCAGGTACCATTTAAGGTGGAACGGAAAATTCGAAGCTGGCGAATGAGAAGCGACTTAAGCTTCATAAAAAGTCTAACATTAAGAGACATTTTACAAGAAACTCTTCAACTTTTAAGGAAAAACTTCCTGCGATGTGAGAAAAGCGGCTGTAGCTGAGCTAAAGGTTAAAGCAGAGCAAAGTAAATCTGGATTTTTGATTGTATTATATTTTTGTAGCCTATACCAGGACATTAGCACATACTGGGATATTATTATACATATTTACAGCCAGGATGGTAAAACATTACTTTAATAAAATGGAGATAAAACGTTGTGGCTCCCAAGGAGGTTAGACGACCCTGTATGAGCCTCATTTAGGAACCGTCTGAAAAGTCCACACAATGGAAAAAGTGTTTTTTTCCTATTTATCAGAACAATTTTGATAAAGCTTCAGCTAAAAGAAGGCTCGCATACATAAATCACTTAATAACTGATTTAAGTCTATTACAAGTTTCAGTTCTATCCTTCATATTCAACACAATCCCCACACTGCGAAACTGAAAGTCGTGGCCTGCCATTGCCTTCACTGTCACTCATAGCCACACTGAAAATTTGTGAAGCAATTTTTGTGCACAAGTTTGACTTGGTTTGTTTTGTTTTAAGGCACAAATTCTTATATTAAAGAAATAATGTTTAATTTAGCCACATACCGTGTCGCCTCTGACACTCCACTTCCTTGGGTTTGGCCAAGTTGCATTAGAGCCCCTCCCTAGTCAGCTATCGGAGGGTCGAGGGTTCATGCGGGTGAAGCTGTGTAGAGCCCAGCTTTTTTCTCGTTTTTTTCTTTCTTTCCTCAGTCTTTTTCTTTCCTTCTGAGTTTGTTACTTAACCCACTTGTCATAATTGCTCCCATCAGAGGTTACATAGTAGTTACTAAAGTATAGAACTCACATTATTAAGGCTTTCTAACATCACAGACGAGTGTTTTTAGCTGTGAAGCTGTTTTTATTACAGTCATTGCTTCTACAATCTTTTGTCTCAGTGCATTTAAGTGCATCTAAAACTGTTTTTGGCCTCCACATCACTTCATTTAGATCTCAAGACATCAAAAATGAGTTCAAATTTTTCATGAAATGGTAAAATGTCTCACTTTCAACATCTGACATGTGATCTATGTTCTATTGTGAATTAAATATGGGTCTATGAGATTTGCAAATCATTGCGTTCTGTTTTTATTTACATTTAATTACATTTTACACAGCATTCCAAGTTTTTTGGAATTGGGGTTGTACTAAGTTAAACCAGAAGTTATCAATGAATGCATATGTAATGTGTTTAAAACAGATCAAATATGGATAACCCTACATTTTATTCATAAAAAAGTGGGAAATGTTTATTTTTTATAGAAGTTTTTCTTTCTTTGAATAATGTTTCCTTGCTGAATGATCAAGCTATTATCAGATTTTTTTATTAAGGTTGAAATACAGTTCCTGTTTTGAAATGTATATATATATATATATATATATATATATATATATATATATACCATAATCATACAGCATGAATTTACATGGACGTAAATAAATGTAAGGACGATGATGATATAAAGTGTTCCAGTATTTACACATAGAAATGTGTTTAAAGAGGAAAACTGTGAATGATACTGAATGCAGTGCGTTTACTTTGATGAACGTAAAATTATGTAGTTTTTTTGAATGACGTCACAAATATACCAATGGGCAAAAGACAGTTTATTTCACATTCATCATTTGGTCCAATAAACATTTTACAAATCAAAATTACAAAATTTTCCCTTTGGTAACCAACAATTCAATGTCAACACCAAATTGATCACTTTGGTTTTTATTTATTATTAACAAATATTTAGTATCAGAACAGCATGAAATCTCGCTGTTTTAAAAAACGTAAACAGAACAGCCTGTTGTTTTACCTCTTTAGAGTTGCTGGTGCTGTGAGGTCTGTAGGTTGTATCACTTGCTTTAATGTAATGCCTTAAATCATGTCTACAGCTCTGATTTGTGGCAAGTGGCTGGCAGCAGATGACATTTAACAAGGTTTATCACAAGTTTCCATACATGTTAAGGATGCCTGTTCTGTGCTGGATCTGAACTCATATTTGTGTACATTTGCTTTCTCTCTGTAAACTCTAACTAGCCAAGACATTAATTATCATTATATCATACCGTAAGACATATTTTGTATAAAATTGTAAAAAAAAAGTATAAATTTTTTTGCAAAAAATGTCCTCAAACATTCTTACACATTTCACATTCACATTAGATTTGACTCTGAATTTTTCATTTGTAAGGAAAACAGTAAAACACAGAAATAAAAGAAGCATGAAAAAATCATAGATAGGGGAGACCAGCGAGGGCTATAACATGGGGAAAGTTGTACCACCCCCAGTTTTATCAATAAAACAAAAGTTTTACATATTGGGAAAAAAATAAATATAAAATGTGGCCAAATTTAGGCCATATTTATATTTTCTTTATTTCTTCTAATATGTTAAATTCAGCAAATAAACAGTAATTGTGCACTAAAATAGTTTGTCTCTGTAGGGGGTGTGTTCACTTATTTTCACTTAGAAAATCAACATGTAAATGAACCAGGGGTGTCCAAGCATTTGCATATGACAGTATAAAACTTTTAAAACATAAAGGGTAGAAACTTTTCTTTTTTCGGTTACTGAAGTCAACATTTAGGGTTAGGCTTAGAGGTACTTACAGTTGTGCGCAAAAATTTGGGCACACCTGCCCCAATGACATTTTGTTGATTTTCTAAGTGAAAATAAGTTACACATCCTCAACAGAGACGCACTTCTGCATATGCACTTCTTTTAATGCACAATTACCGTTCATTAGCTGAATTCTGCATATCGCTGTTGTCGGAAGAAAACCTCATATCTCCAAAATGATAAATTTACAGGAAAGGAAAAAAACTACTTTACTTTTAATGTAAGTCAGTGAAACCAGATTTTTTCCAAGTCATTTTAGGCCATTTCTTTTGGTCCATTCTTAATAAAATTTACACACAATGTAAAGGGTAACAGTTATTTTCAAATTATTTCAAAATTTGAAAAACGACAAAAATGGACATACAAGGTTTTGTTCCGAGAGCAGCGATATCCATAAAATATAATGTATAACAAATATACATTTATATGTGTTAACCTTCACTTAGAAAATCAACAAAACATGTCATTTGATGGGGTGCTTAAACTTTTGCATATGACTGTACCTGCCTTAAAAAAAAAATCTGTTATGACTGATCAGGACAAGGGGAGCTGTAACACATCACATACTGTATTTGACCAAAAACTGACCAAAAGACCTTAGGCCCCCTTACATTTCTCACATGAACAGAATGAAGTGATGTACATTAACACTCACTGAGAATGTTTACTTCGTCCTACATTGTCTACAGCTTCCTTTTCTCCTAAACTAACACACATAGGCCGTGTTTTGTGGTTAAAATGTTTTGGTATAGATTAAAGAGTTCAGTATCAGTGTTGTTGCTGCTTGTTTTCTCCTCTGAATTTAAGAAAAATTAAAAAATGTCCTTTACAAATGCCTCAGTAAATTGTTTTATACTCCTACTGTTTCAACCTATCCCTCTAGTGATAAGAGGTTGTAACAGAGGAACTTGTTGTATTTCACACAAACTTACATATTGTGTGAGTAAGCAGTAGACTTACAGTCATATACAAAAGTCTGAATATCCCTGCTCAAATTACACGTTTTGCTGGAAAAAAACTGTAAAAAATAAAACAAACAATAAAACTTTTGCACAGGCCACATTTTAAGCTTTATTTTTTTCTAGTACACTAAATTCAGCAAAAACCAGCAATTGTGTACTAAAGTGTGCAGAAGTGAGTTCTTTGTAGAGGACATTCATTTATTTTCACTTAAAAAAAATTGACCAGGGGTGCCCAAACTTTTGCATACAACTGAAAGGTATAGTACAAACAAGCATAGGGTTATAAAGGATTAGACAAAAAGTGTTACACACCCCCGGTGATCTCTTCTAAGTGGACTGGTTCAGAACAGCACTGGATGCCTATTATAAACCGGTCCTTCTGTGGCACGCTGTTGTTCTAGCTGGGCACCCGGAACACCAACTTCTTCCTCAAGGTCACTTTGTGGACTGGCATCTGTTTGGCTTTGACCATCCCATACTGGCGTATCACTTGAGCAGCTTTTCTACTGACCTCCCGATTCACACGGACCAGGATAGACTGGATGTCCTCACACCTTAGAAATAAATTATACAAAATAGACATCAGTAAAGAAATGTAGTTTTCTTTACCGTATCAGCAGACCGGTGCTACTTTTGTTTAGTACTTACTTTGCACAGTACGTTTTCAGCTGCTTACACAAAGACTGAATGAACCACGAGCCTGAAAGTATGTTCCTGAATGAGACGAAGCCTTTAACGGTTGACCTCGCCACAAAGAAATCTGCATCATCTGGGATGGTGAACATCTCAACGACATCCGTTTCCAACACTGCTTCCCCTGCTGCTTCATCTCCTTCAAGGTTATCAGCCTGGACTTCAACTGGGAGCTGATAGTCTTTCCCACGGCAGGCCTGGATGAAGAACACTTTTGGTTTACCGGCCAGGGTTCGGCAGGAGGTTCCTCTGAATGGAGGGAACATGTCCTCCCTGCAGACGACCCTCCATCAGTGCCGTACACCCCTTCAGTACAACCATGGCTCAGGATGCAGCAAACGAAACAGTCACCTTTATGGTCCTTCTGACTGAACTGCTTCAGGATGTCTTTCATCTGCTCTGCAGTTTTGTCTTTGTGCACAATGAGAGTGAATCCCAGCCAGCAGAACACCTCTTTAAGAGACTCTGTAGGACAGAATAGAAGAGGCTGTTTTTGAACATTTATGACACTTTACATTGTACACTACCTACACTTTACACATGCTGTAAACTACCAACTATGCTACATGGCAGAGAACCAGAAATACAGAAGATTAATATTAATTCTCTTAAAATAATTCTCTACAGAATACCGATATGACCCTTTTATTACCCTGTTTGTATTATTCAAAATATTGTCACACGGCAGTACACAATATTACAGTACATTAACACATCCTCTACAGGGAAAAAACTTAAATATGGCATAATTTAGTGCACAGTTTCTATCGGAGTCAGTGATTCCACCTCTTAAAACTACACTCTACAGATAACTCTACATGTAAATGAACCAGCGGTGTCCAAACTTTTGCACTTTTGCAAAAGAAACTTCTTTTTTCGGTTACTGAAGTCAACATTTAGGGTTAGGCTTAGAAGTACTTACAGTTGTGTGCAAACGCACAATGCATAACAACTTACTGATTTAGCGACTTCACCTCTTATGCTCTATAGATAACTGCAACACTACACTAAATGCCTGATTCAGTGGCTCCACCTCTTATAATTACACTCCATTACTATCACAATCTATTGATTCAGTGACCTCACTTCTTATAACTACACTCTATTGATAGCTGTAGCACTCCACACAACAACTTTTTGGGACTGTCGTGGGCTGGAGGTTAGGGAACCAGACCTGTGACCTGAAGGTCGCCGGTTCGATCCTCTGAGCTGACAGTACATAACTGAAGTGCACCTAACCCCCAACTACTCCCCAGGTGCCGAGGATAGGGCTGCCCAGCTCTGGGCAAGTGCCCCCTAGTGTGTGTGCTTTCACTAGTGTGTATGTGGTGTTTCACTAACGGGTGGGTTAAATACGGAGGTGAAATTTCCCCGCTGTGGGA